TGAGCAAACGGCAGGAATGTGACCCATACAGTGAGTGTTTGTTTCATCACCGTAATAAGGGTAATGGCTCGTGATTCACCGCTACGCTAACGACCTCACGAGCGGCTGGGGGGGGGCTGGGGCGCTGCACGCTCCGCGGAAGAGACGGACGCAGAGCTCTTCCTCTCCAGGTGCCAGCGGCAGAGAGGATCGTAGCGGCTCGTCTGTCTTGCTCCAACGTTCTGTTAAGGCTATAATAGGGGGATCTTTGTGTCTCGGGGAGTGGCAGTGTAGCGGGTTGGCGCACTGCCCTTCGAACCCCGGCGACCCGGGTATGATTTCCGCTAGCGGCCGACACTACTGCCAATTATCTGAACCGGTCCTGGGCCTCCCATAGATCAACTTGGCACCATGCGAACACCTTGCACGATGTGTAAACGTGGCCACTAGGGGGAGGCAAGGGTGGCCGGACGTTGTACTGGCCACCCACACCCTCGTGTGCTGTGCTGGCCTTCATAGGTGCTCGCTAACATTGCTAGTTATCTGCGAAGGAGCGGGAGGTGTAGTGGTTAGTGAACTGCTCTACGAACTTGGCTAACAGAGTTGGATTCGTGGCCAACTTTAGTTTGAATCGGTCCTGGGCCTCTCCGAGGTCGACTGCCCAAAATTAGTGCAGTGTGTAAGCAATCAGCACTGGGGATACAAAGGCGGCTGGGCATGTGGTTGGCCACACCATGCCATCGTGCGCTGTGTTTGTCTTTATAGGTGGTCTCTAGCAGCACTGAATAGCATACGCAGGGAATTTTTTGTTTATGTCTGTAAAATAAAGCTCGTATGTGCTTGCTACTTTGTGCGAGCTCGTCTGTGTCAATGCATGTGTGCTCAAGCGTACGTTCGTGCAAGCGTCCATGCATGTGAGCTCCTGCGTATGTCTGTGTGTGTTCACGTGTCTGTGCGAGCTTGTGTGTGTGTGTGCTTCTGCGTTCGTGTCCCGAGTGCCTGTAGGTGCGTGCGTCCATGCGTGTCTTCTGTCCGCGTGACCACTTGTGCCGACTCGCGCCCACTCCTACCCGCTCGTGCCCACTCAGTGTGGTGACGCTTTTGCAGGTTAAGAACTTGAGCTGAGGAAGCGCGCGCGCGACCTTGTTCGAAAGAGAGCGAAAGTGGCGATTACTCCAAATGGAGCGGTTCCGTAGGTGGAGCCGGGGACTGTCGAGGCCCTTCTTTGCATGCCTCTTCTCTGCCGGCACCAGCGAGTTTCCACAAGGTGCCACCAGAGGTTCCCTCTGGCTACCGTTTCGGACGTCACGGGGCAACGCGGTTATCGTCAGCGAACCGCGGCTCCTGCGCTGCCTGTACCCTTGCAGCCCTCGCAGCCCTCGCAGCTCCCCCGCCTCCGTCTCTGCGTCGGCGCTCGTCGAGGTGCAAGCGCGCGCGGCGTGTGGCCCGCCGTGTCGGCGCCGGGCACGCGGTGACACGCGGTGACACGCGCGAGTGGCGCCGCAGCTCCGGCGCCCTGGGAATAGCCGATGACGACGACGATGATGATGTTGAGAGGCGCCCGTGCACAATTGTGCAGACACGCGTGGCCCAGCCGCCCCGCGTTACCAGCGTTCAGACGTAGCGGTGTTATTTTTGCCCGAAAGTCTACGTGCGGAAGTAATTGCCGATGTACACAGTGGTTTTTGTTACTTTCCTGCACTTCGCCGCTGGAATCCGCTTTCCCGCGCCTCGCAGCCGAGGCGCCGCCGTGTTTATGAACGCCGGAGGGTTCGTAGGCAGCGTCGGGGCCGTTGGTGATCCCTCACCGACGCCACCGGGGGGGACCGCAGGCGTTCACGAATGCGTGGGGGGCGGGCGGCTCGTCCCGATCGAGCCGTGCCCTTTCACGGGCCCGCCCGCATCGTCGCACGGTCGGCGCCGCGTGCCGCCAAGCCCGGTGCCCTCCCGCCTCTCGTCGCCCACCCAGCTCCACCCTCGAGCCGCTTCACCGCTGGTCTCCGCACGCATCGCTCTCACCGCCCGCCCGTCCCGCTCTGCGACAGCCTCTCCACGTGCCCCCCCACCCCCCTGTGTGGCGCAGTTTCCACGCGGCTCCGACCGCACGTAGACTCGTGAAGACCGAGCGCTGTCCCCACACTGAAGGATTAAACTCGAATCGCCACCTGCTTGATCCCTCGCCCGCCCCTCGTTTCTCTCAAAGGCCGCTGTTCAAGCAGCTGTGATGAGCGGCAAGGGTTTGGACCCTGGAGAGATTGCGAGCGAGTCGTTCGTGCCAAGGCATGTGCTGGTCTCCGGAGAGTAACGTAATGCCCGGCGTTGCGCGTCGGGACACGTGGAGTCCAATTGGGTGGGAGCTCAGGTGCGGTTGTGGCCCCGTGGCCACTGAGCTGCCTGGGCTAGCTCGTTTTAAACAGATTCTGTGGAGTTGAAGACCTTAATTGTTCATCTGTTCTAAGTCGCGATGAAATTGCGGGCGATTACATTCTGCCTGTGTCGTTTTTTCCTGCGTTCAGTCTGAACTCGCGCAGTCAGAGTATCGCTTCCCTCCCCTTGCGCGACTCGTGCAGGGCCACCGAGCGCAGCCTCCCATCAGCTTAAACCCCCACCCCCCCCCGACCACAAGAGCGTGAGTTCTGAGAATTGACGAAGCATTCAAAAACGAGTCTCCCTCCCTCGAGGCGGTGGCTGTGCGAGCGATCGGCTCTGCGCCGCACGCAGCTCATTTTGCGGAGTTAGACCCTGTCGGTCGCAAGAGGTCACCAGCCACCGTGACCCTTGAGCCTCTTCGCACAGAGGTCACGCTCGACCGGCCGTGCAGTCGGGACAGGGCGACGGTCGCTCGTTCTCGTTAACGAAGCCCCCCCCCTCCGCCAGCTGAGCGAGCACGGAGGAGCAAGCAGCTGCCCAGCCGCTCGCTGCGCTCTAAAATAGCGCCGGTCCCTCGGGGTTCTGGCAGCTTCGTGCGCAGTGGGGATGGGAGGGTGGGCAGCCCCCCACCCAAACGGTTCGCGGCTGCGTGCCCCTCCATGCCGCCGTTATCTCGCGTCGGAAAACGACATTCCCCGACTGCTTTTATTTATTTCCAACCCGTCGCAATCGCGAAGAGCTTAGGCTCCTGCGGAATATTTCGACTCGAGCGTCAGGTGACCGATTTGGAGAGGGCTCCTGTGTCTCGTCACCCGCCGAGTGAGTGGGAGTTTTGGAGCATCGCGCAGCAGTTCGTGAAGCGGCTGTCTGCGAGATACGCCATGTCCGTCCGGCGCGGCGAGTCGTAACGGGCTTCCAGAGACTTGTCACGTGGCCCGGCTAATTGAGCGAGCGGCACTGCCCGGCGCTAACGCAATGGAAAGGGCTCCGCCCCTCCGCTCTTGCCGACGTCTAGAATTAGCGACGGTGGCACGCCTCTCCCCTCACCACCTCGGCTCCCAAGAGATCACCTCCCTCCCACAACAGCATGGGGGTCACCCCCTCCTCCTACCGGCTGCTGCTCCTCCTCGGCTGTGATGGAGGTGTTTCCATGGCGGGGTACAGTGTGCGCATAGAAGCCCACAAAGGGCGGCCGGCTAAGAATAGCCGCTTGAGTGGGAGACCGTGCGTCCGTACGTCGCAGAGTGTTTGCCCGCTCGATGGTAAAGGACGGTGGAGTGGCTGAGAGCCTCTCGCTGCCGCCCACGAGGAGCACACGGGGCCGCACGTCGTTTATGAGACGCCGCTGTTATGGTCGAGCGAGCAGGCGAGGAGTAAGACCGCCTCCCGTTGGCTCGTGTTTTCCCAGGCAGCCCATTGCGTGTATCCGTACGTCATGGGCGCGCGCGTTGGTTTGTGCGTGCATGGAATCAACGGGACGGGGGGCACGAGGTCACGGGGTGGGCAATCGCGTGTCCGTGACATCGCACCTCGCTCTCCCAGGGGAAATATCAGAGAATCTCCTCCCAGATGGGGACAACTGCCAAAACGTCCCACGAGCTTTGTCGGACCAAGGTGTCTCGCCCGAAGAGGTTGTTAATCTTACTTGTATCCATAATTGGAGGCAAACAAACGATACAGTGGATTATTGGGTGACCTCACACACAACAGAATGTGTAACAATGTAAATAAAATTAATGTGTTTGTGTGTGTGCGCACGCACGCTGGAGTAGGGGAGCGGCAATGCTGCGGCAAGCGCGACTGCGCTACGAACCCGGCGACCCGACTTCGGTCAACGCCGGTGACGATTGTCTGAACCGGTCCTGGGGCCTCCCCTAGGTCGACTCGGCCTCAAATGAGTACCTGGTGCGGTGTGTAGTAAACATCGCCACAGTAGTGAGACAAAGGCGGCCGGCCGTGGTGCTGGCCACCCCATCGCCGTCGTGTGCCGTTTCGGCCTTCATAGGTGCTACTCTTCGCCAACGGCACTTGCTCCAAAATTCTGTTGCTGCTATGCGAGGGATCTTTGTTGGGGCGTACCGCGTGGCGACTGACGAGCCCTGCCACCGTTGCCGTGTGATGTTTGCCGCTGGCAGATCGCACTGGGAATGCGCCGTGCGGAGCCGAACGTTCACACCCGTTCAAGTCTGCTCCACCGTCGCTAAATGGCACTGGATTTGATTTTTCGATTCTGTGGTGTTTTGCAATCGATTGCAAAATTAATGATCGTCGATTGTAACGGCGATCGCGGATTCAGCAGCCCCACTGGAAAGGCTCCACCTTCCCACGCTATGCGAGAATGTGGCCCACGTAAGTTATTCCCATAATATTTGGTGTTTATTTGTTTGTATAGATTTGTCATTTGTTGACTCTATTCCAAGCTACGTCCAACAGCTACACAAACGCAGCAAGACAGATAATGTGAAGGGTACTTTGTCTCCTGTCCAGTTTTTCTTATTTGTATTCACCACAAGGAGGCTCATGATATTTTAAATAAATACCATTTTAAGTGGAGCTTCCTAACGAACTGTGATGTTCTGGCGTGCTCTGTATGTGCGTGCTGTGTGCGTCTGCGCTATGTACGTGCGTGTGTGCACGCGGGCGCGATGCAGGCGGAAGAGCCGCAAGGGAGACAAACGCGGCAAGGGGCTGCGCCACTTCTCGATGCGCGTGTGTGAGAAGGTGAGGGCCAAAGGCACCACTACCTACAACGAGGTGGCCGACGAGCTGGTGGCGGAGTTCAGCAGCACGCTCCGCGCCAGCCAGGAGGTGACTAGCTCGCACCCAGCACACCCAGACATGTGCTGCACGCACACCCAGACACGTACCGCATGCACACCCAGACACGTACTGCACGCACGCCTAGACACATAACACATGCCTAGCACCGTGTACCCAGCCAAACAGTGGACGCACACACAGCCCCAGATCCAACATACTCACACCCGAGACCATGTTCCCACACAAACCCACAACATTCCCTACCCATCACATGCGCTGTGTCAGCATTGTTGCACCATTGCCACTGTGTTCAATTACAATACTATTTACTATTTTTATTTTACCTGGTAAGCTCCCTTAAGCTATACAGCTCTTTTTCAGACGTGACCTGGCCACAAATGAAAGCTCAACAAAGTGGGTTATCATGTGGACATTTATAGTAGCCAAATACTCTAAACGCATGTTTCTGAATGTGGAGGGAAACACTGAAGGACCCGGAGAAAAATCCACACCACCACGGAGAGAACACGCAAACTCCAAATATACAGCAGGCATCAGGGTTGGGATCAAACCCACAACCTCCTGTATACCAGGCGAGATAGTTAACGTCTCGTCACCGCGGCGCCCACAAGCAGACAAATACGCCCTGTTCATGTGTCCGCGTCTGCACGTAAACATCAAGAAGTGTTCTTTGCGCAGTCCAGCGGCGGCGCAATGTTTTGCTAGCGCCGACGATGGCTGGCGGAGCCGTGCGCGGCTAACGGCGGGGTTACCGCGGGCCGCGTGGGCTCCTCCCCGCCGCCGCCCTCGCCCTGCCCGTCCCCCCACCGCCGCCCCCTCGCGCTCCCCTGCCTGGCCGTCGGAACACGTCCGGCCGCCTCGCGAGCGTGCCCACGCCCACGCCCCTGCGTTCCCCGGGAGTGGCGGGCATTGCGGTTAGGCTTGGAGTCGCATTCGTGTGCGCAGTTTGTGACAGTCACGCGGGTTGATCCGCGGCGTCTTTGAGCCGTCCCCCTACTAGCGCCGTGCCAGCCGGTCGGGGTGGTGGTGGTGGTGGTGTGGTGGCAGCGTGGATGTGTTGCTTGGCAACGAGCTTCCTGTTTTTATTGCTGTGTTCTCCGTTCCCGGGCCGATGGACGGTGACCTCCGTAACTCGTGCGCGCTAATTGTTGAGGGCGTGGATCGTTTCCCTAGAACTGTATGCGGCGAGTGACACGTTTGTTTTCAAAGAGCATTGAGGCGCGTCTCTGGGGGTTATATATGTTCATTGTGCATCAAGAGAAAGGGGAATTGAGCCCATGCTTGTGTGATTTTTTTTTAGTCTTGGCTTTGTAGAGTTCTGTTTTTTTGCTTATTCCCAACTAGTTCATAAAGCCTGTCTTTGCCAGGGAGAAGTTTTCATAAATTTCAGAATTAACCGTTGATTTTTTTAGAATTTTTATCTTCGATCAGACTAACAACTACTACAAATATTTGTATTTTTCCACGAAAAACTAAAATTGTTGCCGACTTGATTCAACTTATTATATTTAAAGTTGTACCCATAAGTACGCGTATTTTTTCGTTTAAAGCTGCTTTAATCAGAAATAACGCAAAAACAATAAAAGATAAATCAATGGTTCTCGCTTTAATTAGATTTTATGTTTAACGCTCTATCGAACGAAAAAAATCACAAAATTATATTATGAATGGTTTCTGAATGACATGTGCAAACATGTTTATGGGGCAATTAAAATCGAGATTTGGGGCCCTTAAAATGAAAAATCTTGGATTTATTTTTCCTGTTTGTATCCTAAAAGCTACCTATGAATCAAATTTCAGGTTTCTACCTTGTCGGGAAGTAGCCTAGAGGTGTGTTAGACATAGAGACTAAGATATTTATTTATACAGAAGACTCGTAAACATTCCTTCCTAAATCCATCTGAGCGTCGTGCGGAAAGCACTGCCCGGTTCAAGGGGAAAAAAAACGACTTCTCTTTGCTGATTCTGATTGAGGTTTCAATCCGATTAGAAAAAAACAACCAAGAGCTTTCTTAACGATCCACGTTTTTGCGAGCTCGGTGTTGAGGTGGCTCTGTGGGAGACGCGGGAGGTGCACGGGCGGCTGCTGGGTTGCGAGCGGTTTGTTAACAAACCGCTGGTGCCACGCATCTATCAGATGCGCGCGCCTGTCCGTTAACAAACCGCCGGCACCGTGCGTCTGTGTCCGTTAGACTCCCGTGTTTGTTCGACACACCTTCCGTCAGACGCCCGTGTGTGCTCCTAGCTCGTCCTGCCACCAGATGGAATGGAGCTGAGCGATGAGCCTTCCACCATGAGCTGCGAAACCCCTCCCCAGAACGTGCTCACCTGGCAGGCTCGTCACACCTGTCTCTACAGGTCATCAAGTACCCTGGGTACTTACATCCGGCCAGGTTGCTCAGTGGTAGTGGGAGTGCTTTGCAAGCAGAAGTTTGCGAGTTCAAATCCTGTTTGGGGGTTCAGTCGGCCCATTATCCCTTGGGGTCGATAAAATTATTACCACTGGGGAAGCCAACAGTGGTTGTCTTCTGGATAGCCTTTCCCCGTCATGGGAATGTGGAATGTCTACCACTGGCTCAGCGCTGTAAACACGATGAGCACGAATCCTGCAATGCTCAACTGAGGAAGGAATTGACTTATGAGTTAACTTGATGTTTACAAGTAACCGCTTGGGGGCTTAGCTTGAGGGCGCACACAGTGGTTAGCGCACTGCTACGAGCTCAGAGACCTCTGTTCGATTCCCGGCCACGGCTAACATCAGTGGTGAGTAATGTCCGAACCGGCCCTGGGCCTCCCCAACTTCACGAACCCCGCAATGAGCAGGTGTTGGCGAGGTTGGTCAAGCAACCCCCCTGACTGAAAGGCGTGGGGGGACCTTCATCCAGCAGTTGATTTATCAAGGGCTGCACATTAACACCCCCCCCTCCACTCACCGACCCAACAGCCGCGATGGTCGAGCGAACTGGTCTGACCGGTTGACCGCACTCGTGTTGCCCTCAACCTTGATCGTTACCGACGGAGATTCTCATTCCTGCGACACATTTCGTCGTCGCAGAACGCTTGTATCGCGCAGAGTGCACGATACTTAACACCGTGTAATTTGAGGTTACTCTTTGTGTGCCGTACGTACGCTGCAGCCCGTTTAATGTCACAAAATGAGCACGAAGTGAGATTTTATTTACTTCCTTGTCCTGCACGGGCGGGGTGGCGTCGGTGAGAGACGCACGGTCACGGTGGAACGTCCGCGTTGGGGTGGGTCGGCAAAATCTGCTCCCAACCGCCGGAGCGTCGAGCGCCCTCGTTTAGCTGGGACATGGAGCCAACAGACCCGAGCTCGACGACGTGTGGAATTATCCGGCTCAAAACTCCCCCCACGTGCAACCTTGCGTAGTAGTCGGGTCGCGTTCACAGGCAGAAGAGAGGTCTGGCGTTATCGTCCTCGTGTCTTGGCGGTGTGAATTTAATGGCTTGAAATCCAGATACAAACTTCGGTACTCCTCAGTTTAAAATCAATAAAAGCTCAAAAATGTAACCCTCCAATATTGGTGAGGTGGGAGGCATACTCAAAAAATGTAATGTTTATTTTTTGGATTTTTCTTGTTATAAGTATCGACCTGGCTATGGTAGTGGAAAATTTGTATCATTAGCACCCTCGTAAAACTTCCATAAACATTACATCAGTCACCCACTTCCTCCATGCGTCTCTCGGTCATTCACTCACTGCCTTCTCCACTTAATAATAATTTGTAATTTAGAGTTTGTAATGAGCACTGTCTTCTTCACTCTCAGAGAGAATGATTCAGGGTAGCTTAAAACCACGGGCAGCCATAACCAGCGGCAACAATTGCCCAAGCTCTGTGGTCCTCTTTTGAGATGTTTGACCAACTCGACGAACGAGTGCTGCGTCTCTACGCGGTACAGGAAACCGGATTGCCCAGAGAGGAAAAACCCACGCGTGCGAGTCGATGTCGGGGGGCGGGATGACACTCAATCCCCATAGAGATGGAAATGACCAAGGAACATCTTCCTTACAAACGGAGAACCACCAGTGATCGGCGATGGTACGAAATGACTTCCCCGTGCTGTTTGTCACTGATTCGAGGCGCGCCCATCGGCCGGCGTTACCGGCATGCGTGGTGATGTAAAGAAGGAGTGAAAGTGGACAGGCACGGGGCACGTTCCTCGCCCTCGTACCACCTCCACCCCCAGCGTTGCTAATTACGGCCGCCCCTCGGGGGGGGAGCAGTGCAGCACGAGACGTGCGGCAGAGTCTGAGGTCACTGTTGGAATTGGCCCGGGGGTGCCACGTGGACCCGAAGCTGGACGAATGAGGATCGCACACAGCGAGGGCAGGCGCGATTCCCTGTACGTTATCGTCGTCGGCCGTGGTCAGTCCGCTGCTGGATGAAGGCTTCCCCAACCCACCGCCACCTTTTGTGATGCTGCGTTGTCACGATGATCTACCAAGCGTCTGCTGCACGCGAACCGATTTTAGCGCTCCTTCTTCACGTGGGCGTCCTCTCGGATGCATTCCATTCCTGCTGCTCATTACTGTTGCGAGCAGGTGGAAGGGGAGGGTCGATGTGTGACCATACTTCACGGTGAACAGTGCGGTTTTGAGAGGACACTCAACAGACATATGAATGTGTTTTATAAAAAGCGTCCTGCTAAATTAAGTTGAATTGTTCAACTGCACTGTGATCTCGAACAAAAAATTATTGGCGCTTGGTACGTTTGTACGCCACGTGACAGGTTAATTTGTTTGGCCATGTCAGGTGGCTAAGAGCCTTAACGACACAAGTGTGGCCAGATCATTAGGTGGCCTGACTCAAATGTTGACTGTGATTCTCCGTAGTGGGGGTTGAAAACCTGCGGTGTGTTGTCTCCGGCTCTGTCAAAGTTGAAAAATTATCAGAAATGTTTTTTACAAAAGAACGCAGGATCCAGAATGTTGGTTTTGTGGCGTTCCGTAAAGAGCTGCCCTTGTCTAAACACTAAGGTTGGAATGTGTGTGTGTGCGCGTAAGCGCGCTTGTGTGTGGGACGCGGTAGTATGGCGGTTAGCGTGCTGCGCTACAAACCCAGCACCCCGAGTTCGATTGACGCTCATGGCCAAGGCCAGTGACGATTGTCTGAACGGGTCCTGGGCCTCCCCTAGGTCGACTCATCGTCAATTGAGTACCTGGTGCGATGTGTAAAAACATTACCTCTAGGTATATAAATGCGGCCGGGTGTGGTACTGGCCACCCATCCCCTCGTGTGCCATTCTGGCCTTCATAGGTGCTCGCTAACAGCACTTGCCCCAACAGTCTAAGGCTATACTGAGGGGTCTTTGCGTGTGCACGCATGTGTGTGGATGTGTGTGCACGCAGACGTACGACCAAAAGAACATCCGGCGGCGTGTGTACGACGCCCTGAATGTCCTCATGGCAATGAACATCATCTCCAAGGAGCGCAAGGAGATCCGTTGGATCGGGCTGCCCACCAACTCGGCGCAGGAGTGTCATAACCTGGAGGTGAGGTGAACGCTCTTTCCGATCGCCGCGTAGCTCGCGAAACACACACAGGAGCTGGAGCCGAGCCAGAAACGTCGTCCGCAGCCACGGCAACTCTCCCCGGCCGCTGCCGTGGCGGCCCCTAATCCCAGATCGTTACTCGAATCCTAGCGCACGGCGCCCCCGAGGTGATTGCGGAGTGAACGGAAGGAGCCTTGCCCGATGGCCGCGCATCCTCATTGTTTTATCGGCGGCGGCAGGAATGTTTCGACGGCGTGTAAAGAGAAACTTAATTAATGAATGGAGGGGTAAGGCCCGTACAGGGCCCGACGGTAACGGCGCTGGTTGCGTGGCGAGGGTGTTTGTGGCGGCCACGCGCCGCTCTCCGCTCCCGCAAAGCCCCTGGGCCCTTGACATTCCTGTGCTTGCCGACTCGGAAATTCCCAGAGCTGCGTGGGAATGTCTGTGCGCGCGTTAACGCGTGCGCGCGTGCAGAGAGCGAAGTGAGCGGCGCAGAGGTTGGTGCGCTGCCGCTAACAAAGCCGGCAAGCCCGAGTTTGGTTCCTGACCACGGCCAGCAACACCGATGGTGATTGTCTGAACCGGTCCTGGGCCTGCTTTCATTTAACACTGCCTGCAAAGAGTACTTGGTACTGTGTGTAAACAGCACTGGGGAGACTAAGGCAGCCGGGCGTGGTGCTGGCCACATCCACCTCCTCTTGTGCGCTAGTCACCGTGCCACCGCTTCCCAAAGATCCCCCTTTAACAGACTTTTGAGGCAAGTGCTGTTTGCGAGCACCGATGAAGGACGGCATGCTACATGCACCTGACCCGTCGGCTTTTGTCATCCCGGTGGCGATGTTTACACATTGCATGAGGTACTCATTTAAGGCTGAGTCGACCTATGGGAGGCTCAGGACCGGTTAAGATAATGGTCACACTGGTGTTGGCCGTAAGCAGGAATCGAACCCGGGTCGCGCACGTCTGCCGGTCACGAGCAGACGCGCGTCTGCTCGTGACCGCGAGCAATGGAGGTGCCGGTGCGTCTGTGCCGACACCGCGGCTGTCCGCGTGTGGGTTTTGCCGCAGACCGAGAAGCAGAGGAGGCTCGAGAGAATAAAACAGAAGCAGGCTCACCTGCACGAGCTCATCCTGCAGGTAGGTGCCTGAACTCCCCCCCCCCCCCCCCCGTGGTAGAAACCGCAAGTCCCATTGTTGCATGCGGTCGGCTGCTCGGATTTCTTCCCCCCCCCCCCTCTATTATCTACCTCTCTGCTGCCGCCGCTTGCCGGCTTCCCCCGCCACCCGCGTCCTCCATCTCTACCCTCGGTCTCCCTCTGCTCCTGCCGTGCACCAGTGGCATCTCGATAGCTCCGCTCATGGCATCTTTTTTGTCGACTCTCAAATCATGGCCAAACCCTCCCGAGTCTCACCTCCCTTGACGTCTTACCCTTTATACCCCGTTTCCACTGGCACATCTGACCCGTGCCAGAGTGAGGCCCTCGCAGCACGGGTGCTCTTTTCCGCTTGACTGGTTGCCGAGCCAAGCCAGAGCCAAACGGTGAGACTGAATCAAGACCAAGGAGGGCCAGGGTGAGGTTAATAATTTTTTTGATATGAAAGTGGTTAAAGCGTGACATCAGCTGCACCTCCTGAGTCAAACCAAGTGTGTATATATATAGATCTAGTCCCAATATTCATATTGGAATTTTCATCTGTCCTTTCAAGCCTCTTGATTTTTATATTACTCACTGCCCACGTCTCTGCGTCATATTGTTACTGTGCTTGTTTACCCAGGAAAGTCTCAAGGACTTTCTTTCAGGAGGGTCCTGCCAAGTTTTTAGAGGTGATGGTGGGAATGCTGCTGCTGTGTAATCCAAATTGGTGGAATTTGCGGGTTATTTTTGAGCATCAGCATGGTTTAGCGAAATACCAGTTACATTGTGCGTTCCTTTAGCTGGAGAATCTGGCGGAAACGCATGCAGAACACGAGGGAAGAACGTACGAATGGCGCCGTAGACGGGAATCGAACCCGGGCCCTTCCTCTTGCCCTGAGACACGAGCGTGACGTCGGCGCCTCCGCTCTGTCCGCCCGCAGCAAATCGCCTTCAAGAGCCTCGTGCAGCGCAACCACGAGCAGGGCCGCGCCGCGGGGGGCGCCCCGCCGGCGGGCTCCGTCATCCACCTCCCCTTCATCATCGTCAACACCAGCAAGAAGACCGTCATCGACTGCAGCATCTCCAGCGACAAGTGCGTCGCCGCCTCCCGCCGCCACCGCGTTCCGTTTCCCGACCGACGCGTCGGGTTCATTTCTCCAATCCGGTGGGAGGGGGGAGGTGTAGGCGGACGCTCACGGTGCGGGCTCGGTGCGTGCAGAAGAGCCAACGCCCCCGGGGTTACAAAACTATGAGGGCAATGCGACTCCCCCGTAGAACCACAACGATCCTCCCCCCGGGCGGGGTAAGAATGGTCATTCTGGCCGCATAGCACAAATGCCGGCTGGAGGGTTAAACTAAAATTCCGGGTAGGGGTGGGTGGGGGGGGTTGAGACACGGAGTAGAACTGTGACCCTGGCCGCGTGTGCGTGCGCAGGTTCGAGTACCTCTTCAACTTCGACAGCACGTTCGAGATCCACGACGACATCGAGGTGCTGAAGCGCATGGGCCTCACGTATGGTCTCGAGGCCGGCACGTGCCGCCCTTGCGACCTGGAGAGAGCCCGCGCCCTGCTGCCCAAAGCCCTTGAGCCACACCTCCTGGGTACGCAACGTGTGCCGGGGCCTGGCAGGGCACTGCTACTGCTGCTGTTGACGAGGGTCAGAGATGCAGATGTGGTGGGGTGAAAGGTTATGGCTGTGGAACAGGGGTCGTGATTGGTTGTAGCGGTGGTGGTGAATGTGGTGGTGATGGAGGTCGACTCGTCCTCAAATTAGTACATGGTGCGGTGTGTATACATCGCCACTCGGGAGACGAAGGCAGCCGGGCGTGAAGCTGGCCACCGACTCCCTTATTTGCCGTGCTGGTTTTCATAGGTGCTATACAGGGAGGGGATCTTTGGTTTTGGGGGAATGTGGTGGAGGTGGTGGTGGCAGTGGTGGTTATGGTTGAGGATGTGCTTTGGTTGAGTTGGCTTTTGCTCCACTCGCTTATTGTGTCACCCTGGTCTCCCTGCGACCGCCCAGATATTACGTACAATTCGTTTTTATAGCCAGGGCTAATACAAATAACAATCATCACGAACATGCAATTAGTCTGAGCACCGCTGCTGATGTGGCGGGGCGTAAAGAAGGCTGGTTGCCTTGTGGAGCGTGGCTGCTTCTGTTGCCGGCCCCGTTGTGGAGCCACACACCGGGCGAGCTCACACGCGCTGGCGCCGGGCGAGCTGACGCGCGGTGGCGCCGTGTGTCACAGAGATGGCGCGCAGCGGGGGAGCCACACTCGCGGCACTTCCCGCCGGGGATGCCCTCCCACCCACGAGCAGGTGGGCACAGCATCGCCAACCCACATCGCCTGTGTGCGCGCGCATTTGTGCTTCCATGTGTCTATGAGTGTGGTGCTGAACGCGTGCGTGTGTGAGTGTGGTGCTGAACGCGTGCGTGAGTGTGGTGCTGAACACGTGCGTGCGTGAGTGTGGTGCTGAACACGTGCGTGCGTGTGGTGCTGAACGTGTGTGAGTGTGGTGCTGAACGCGTGCGTGAGTGTGGTGCTGAACACGTGAGTGTGGTGCTGAACACGTGCGTGAGGGTGGTGCTGAACACGTGCGTGAGTGTGGTGCTGAACACGTGCGTGGTGCTGAACACGTGCGTGTGTGTGGTGCTGAACACGTGCTCGTGTGTGGTGCTGAACACGTGCGTGGTGCTGAACACGTGCGTGTGTGTGGTGCTAAACACGTGCATGTGTGTGGTGCTGAACACGTGCTCGTGTGTGGTGCTGAACACGTGCGCGTGTGTGGTGCTGAACACGTGCGTGCGTGTGGTGCTGAACACGTGCGCGTGTGTGGTGCTGAACACGTGCGTGGTGCTGAACACGTGCGCGTGTGTGGTGCTGAACACGTGCGTGTGTGTGATGCTGAACACGTGCGTGCGTGTGTCGGGTGCAGCCACGGGGAGGCCGGGCTGGTGGTGGACGGGGAGCCGTGCGGGCCGGTAGGAGCGGCACGCGGCGGGACGCCCTTCTCCTTCGCTGACGACGATGAAGACGACGATGAAGATGACGACAGCGACGACGACGACTCCTCTGACTGAAGCCCCGTGGGGGCGGGGGGGGGGCTCCGCTGCTCCTCCCCCCGCCCCCACGCATCTTTTATACGAACGCACGATTGTTTTATAACTTTTTTTTTGATAGCCAGAGTGACGACGATGTTTTGCGTGTGGCTGCTTTTGGGGGGCCGAACCGGGGTCAGGGGTCAAACCGGGCGGGACCAACCGTGTCGCCTTCGCCTGCCGGTCCTGTTTCCCTTGAAGGCCCCAGTTGGAGGTGGCATCCTATTGGAAGGCCCGAGCGGGAGATGAATCGCCTGAAAGCGCGCAGGAGAGATGCGGGTTGGGGGGGGAGAGGAGAGGAGGCCTCGTGTGCGGCCGTCCCAAGGCCACGTTGATTCGCGGTATTCACCGCCGTGTCTCTCGCGCCGCGGTCGATCGTCACGGAGCCCCCACCCATTAGTTACCTTAAACAGTGGTTGGTTGCGACACGGAATTCCCTTTTGTTTGCACTCGTGAGCTTCTTCCCAACGAAAGCGCGATTTAAACGTAAACAACGACGGAAGGGAATCCCCTGCCCCCGAGTCGGCGTTTCGTCGGCGGTTTTGCCAACGAGGGCTAATGGGAGACTTCTCGGCCAAACCGATGCCTGGTGGATGACGTCGATTCTGTGCGACCGTGTGCTCGTGTCGTCTGTGGGGGTTACCGACACGAAAATTAATGTGTGGGATGGCACACCACAATGCTGATTAAAACAAAACAATCGTCTGGCGCTTGCGTAATGAGCGCTGGAAACGCGGCTCCCCTACTTCCAGTCCTGGGACTACCTTCCGCAACGATGGCGCGAGATGAGCCGCTCGGAGCGACGCGAGGCAAGCTTGGAGGGGGGGGGGGGTCCCGCTCGGGCGTTGTCAAAATTACTCTCGGTCTGCGGTTCACATCGACTCGTCCCTCCCTCGCCCGGCGCAGATGCTTAACCGTGGAGCGAAGGCGGCACGATGTTCCGAACCGGCGTCATGCCTCTTTGGGAACTCGCACTCTATCCCCCCCCCCCCCCCCCCCCCCCCCCCCCCCCCGTGAGTTCGTGCTCGAACCGTGTCCGTTGATTCTACAGTTAATACATTTTTTTAATCACCTGTTAAGTCATCCAAATGTTGGTGAAATACTCTGAAGTTTCTCACGACTTGCACGTAAATAAGCACTGCCAGTATCAAAGCTAGCGCACGGAGGTTCAAGGGGCCTTGTGAAGTGGTGGTCTTCAATCCACGCCTCCACTGTCCACCTTTGTCTCTTTCCCCCACGCAGTGGAGGCTTGCAGTGCCCATCACGGTGGAATGTATTGCAGACCTCCGGGCGGCGCTCGTGTAGACGTCTGGATCTTGTTTGCGTCGTCGTTAAAATAAAAGCCTGTCCATTGACCTTTGTCAGGCCGAGTGTGGGCTTGGGCTCACCGACACGAGACCGCGCGTCGGGAGTGAAGAGCCCCTGGTCCTGGGCCTGACCTCTAACCACGATCGACCGCGCCGGACCCTTCTTCCACACCTCGGCTCCTCCTGTGTGCGCGTTACAAGTCGGCCCGAGTAGCGAAGTCTTGCACATGAAATGCGCTCACGTTTTACTGAAATCTCAGTTTTAACTTTAAAATCTTCTTGTGAGGTTACGACTTTCCGCGTGGTGTTCGGCGAAACGAAAGTAAACTAAAAAGGAACTGCTGTTCTCGTTTCATTATTAACCCTGGCGTCTTGAAGCCGGATCACGTGGTCCCAACGCCGAGGCCTTTGTCAATCCTGGCTGCTGCTCTTGATGCTTGGCTGTGAGTACGCAAGACGATGTGACGACTGCAATTGGCCCGGCGTCATTTGACAGCCGCGATGCTGCACCGAACAGACTCCGTCCGCCAACTGTCCTGATCCAAACTGTGAAGCGACGTCGCTCACGTCGCCTGCTTACCCAGACGACGATCGGTGACGATGTTCGGGACGTTGCCACTGCCTCCACCCATCGCGCAGTCTCAGCGCCACCGTGTACCTTGGACACGGTCCGTTGACCGTCGTCCGGCGCCGAGGTTACGTGCTCTGCCGAACGTGACCTTCGCCCCGCCGCGATGGGAGAGGGGCAGCTTGTGTATGGTGACTCGGCAGTGGTCTTCCCCCATGCCACTACCTGTCTCAGTAGCCAGAGAACGACGTCATTGCGCGGTCTGACCGAGCCCTTGCCCCTGCTCCCTCGCACATTCAACCCAAGGCAGAGGACGAGTGCTGTGGCGGCTGGGCTCGTGGTCGCCCCTGTCTGCACAAGCAGCTGCTCCAACGTCAGGATGAAATCAGTGGGCACTCGGTCACAAACCCTGCTCAGACGGTGCCGAACCTCCCGAGTCGGTATCTGACCTGCAGCCACTCAGTGCCCACCCCCTCCTCACCCTGTTGCCGCCTCGAGCAATACGCACAGCGACTTTATCAATATGCAAGGACGACATGAGATTTAATGCGTCTGTTTGATATCTTCCCTCCCTATTCGCTTCTACTAGCCAGAGAAGTGTGTCTCGTGCTGTCGGTCCTTGCCAGCCCCGTGCACCCCCCCCTCCCCGAGCCCCTGTAACCTTCGTGCCTTAAAGTCATGAGCCATCCATTCAGAGCCCAGCTTGACATTTCGCAAGAAAATGTTTATCGACCGTGACTTCCTAATTGTTAAGTGGCCCTACCGGAATTATTGTGGCATTTGAGGCAGGCGGCAAGACGTGGCGACAGCAGTCCCGGTGTTGGCCAGGAAGGAGACTGCTGCCACCAATCAAGGGGATCGTGAGATGGAGCTCAGATTCGCAAACTCCCCAAGCAGGTGACGCGTAAAAGGCAATTCCCAGTGGCCGATGCTTGTGGGTTTGAGTCGGCCGTTGGAGTGGAATGAGCAAGCGGTGACTTCTCAGGTGCTGTTGGTGCAGCCCACCCAGTTCTGTGGTTTCAGAAATGTTTGTCTAAATCGCACGCTCTTTGGAATTAGCGGAAGCCGAGTCAAAAGTTTTGAAAGCGAGATGCAGTTCTTTAAGGTGTGTTCGGGTGCCCATTCTGTTCTCTGAATGGCGACAGTGCCGACGGTTGCGATCTGGGCTGGACTGTGACAAAAATGCAATCTCATTCTCGAAACTTTTAACTCCCCATGTGTGGGTTACTGGCGAGTCACGTTATCAAAGTCCAAAGAGATTGGACGTCGTTTTAGTCTTGTCGCCGATTCCCTGAAGTTTTTTTTTATATATCAACTTCGGAAACGTTTCCCCTTTGCTCCACGTGGCAGCGGTGAGCATCGTCACTTGGATTCCCCCTTCCCATCCCCCCCGAGATGCAGTGAGACGTCACGGGTCACCAAGCCGGCCAACCACGCCAATCGGTTGCGTTGTCAATTGCGTTTCGCACCGCGGTCTCAAGCTCACGGGGTGGGGGGGGGGTCGTTTCAAAAACAGCGTCGAGGCGAGGCTGCTCTCAGTGAGCACCATCCATTTATGGCCGCCTTGGCTACTCACAGGAAATGTTTTCATGCCCAAAGTTCGAGTCTCTAGCTGCGTGGTTTCCGTGATAAGGTGATGCGATGCAAATTCCTGGAACCACCGTTTAATGTTTGTGTACAGAGAATAGGCCATCCTACATTGTGATACCTTGCCATGCAAGCATTGTCAAGGCGATGATGTGACGGCTACGTTATGACCGGTTGCTTCATGTGCTGTGCTCATCCGGGAGTTGGAATTTAAGGGACATTTACGAGTAACAAACCTTAACCTGCTCCTGCCACACAGCTCGACAACCCTCAATTGCCTTCAGCACAGCTGCTTATCATTTTTCTAAATGAAATCTTCTAAAGCTACGTGTGCAGATGTCCTTCCTTCCCCCCCCCGTCCCCCCGTGTGCAAACTTTATCAAGAATTTGACCATCACAAATCTTGTTTGTATAATATTACAATGAGAATTTGAGCAGAGTTGGGGGGGGGGTTAAAAATAGTTCTGTTTAGTTTAAATTGTCATCTTATTTGAAACCGTTTTGCGAGTGCTTTTGCAGATGATGGCATTTGTTTGAAGGGTGTTAAATGTTCAATTACATGATGTAGGGTACATTGGATTGAAATAAACATATTTCCTAAATGCCGCCTGACATTGTCCCCCCCCCTCCGAGTTTATTGTAGTTTGTATTTAATTAGGAAGTGGCTCATGTAATTGGTGCTCTATACCACTCTTCCTCGATGAAGACGTTGACACGAGGACAAGATAAAAACAAATGTTACGGCTAATTGTAACCACGCTGAAACCACTTAAATTTTTTGGCCGCAAGTGTAATGTAAAACTTTTAATTTTTCGATCGATTTTGACTTCACAGGACATCCTTTTAAGTTGTAACCAAACATGTTTAGACAGTTGCACAATTGTACCAAATCTAGGTATTAGCAATCACAATTTTAGTTTTTTTAAAGAATATTACAAGCCCAATATTTGGCAAATTTTACATCTGCAAATATGCATTACAGTGGGGGGGGGGGGGGGGGTGTGTAATAGAATAAAAGTCCACCTCGCCAAAAAACGGAGCAGATCGACAAACTGCAGTAAACAGCGATGCAGAAGCCCCATACACACATGCCGATAGACCGATTTCGTGTGTATGCAGACAAGCCCTGCCCACATTTGCGCGAGACAGCCGATGTGGTGTTGGGGGGGTAACATCAGCACTCACTAAATCAACGTTCGTGCAGGAAACGTCACACTTGCGCACCCAAATACACTTCATAACAGGAGTCCAGTTATGCTATACCGTATGAAAAGACGGACTTGTAGCCATTTGATTATTTTACTGACAAAAACCTTTATAGCTTGAGCCACAGCATTAAACTTTTTATCATTGCAGATTCAACAAAATCTCAGGGTAATTCATGGTTAGAAACCTTGACATACTGCACATCTTTCCCAAAACAATCTTGACACAAATGAGGGTTGTCAATTCACCTTTATTTTAATGTCAATTAAAAACGTTCACTTTACTATTTCCATACAATTATAAGGTCTGAAGTTTATAATTTGAAATATGTACACCAAGATTATTTCCAACGGAAAATTCAAACTACAAATGACCACACAATGCACTTAATTTTTTATGATAAAAGCCAAGGCTTTCACACCGAAAAGTGAGTTTGAGCAAACGCCTCGGCTGAAGTCACAACTACATTAAATACTGCTCTTTTTTAAGTCTAGCTAAACACTGCACAGTACACAACGCTCGGGTGATGGCAGTATACGAGTGAACACGACTTTCGCTCCTGTATGCCAGTAGGCAAACTTCGCCAGGCAGGTAAACCTGGGCAAAGTCACCGTGCCACCTTGCAGGAACACTGCCCCCCCCCCCCCTTGCACACAGCAATACAATCTTCGCACTTTAATTAGTTTCCAACTCCTTCCACCACTTGCATACACAAGCAGATTTGGACTTGCCCACAGCCATTTTCGAACTCCCCACCCCCCGAAGCGGCGAATGAAATGTTGTGAAAGTCCTGCAGCGCACCACCGACCACTACAGTACCATCCAGCAGCTGTACCCCAATGCAGGCAGTGAAAACACGCACGCACATTTTAAAAAAAAATCCGCAAACACCTGGGTGCACTGGAAAGCAATGTTATTTGAATGCATGTAGTTAAACTTTGACCTATCTACGTGACCTTACCGAAAAGAACCAGAGAGAATAGCAAGAGTACATTTAAAAACGGTTACAAAAATGTACCGCGGGATAATTGGTCACGAGGCAACGGAGTTCATCAATTTAACATCGCTGCATCACCAATTTGTATTTATTACAAGTTTCAACTGCATGGACCTACAATGCAACCATCTCCTTAAAGTCAAGAAACCTTTTGGAATAGTTTAGATTAAGAAAAACGGGGACAATAAACACGAGTGTCGTGCAAGCCGGCTTGGCAGCAGAAATGTCAGGTCCCAGAGACTGTGCGCGCTGCAGTGCACGCGCACACCGGGAAATACATCGCACATTGATGCAAAGTTCTCCCTCCTGTCGGGTGTCTTTGTTTTACACTCAATCGACTGCTAGTTAGTACTCGCCCAGGCCAAAACACTTTGCAATACAGTGCATGAAACACGCGAGTTAAATATCGTGTCGTTCTCATAAATCACATAACTTACTCGCAGACCTTACCTCAGAAGGCATGAAGGCGATAAATAATATATTAACCTTGATGATTGTAACAGCCGAGTGTGATCCTTGGTTAAGCTTAAATTTTTAAATGCGATTGTTTCCAAATAAACTTTGGTTATCAACTTTCATTTTTTTAAACAATAAATAAAAGGAGAAAAAAATATTTTTTTCTACAGCGCCAAGTCCAAATTTGTACATTTTAATGTGCTCAGGATGTCAAACTTAATATTAATTTGCAAAAGTTTACTCAAAAAAAGGCTACTGCTGAAACTTAAGTTATGTCGGACACACCAATAATGAATGTCACATCGATCTCATGTGCACTTACTAAAACACAAGTTAAAACTGTGCCAGATACAATTTAAGTTGCATATAATAAGGTTGTATGTAAACAGGATTCAATTAATAGTACCAGTGCTTCTTAACATGCAGGGCTGGTTTTAGTTAGGCTCTTATTTAATCATAAATAAATTTAAAACGAAAACATTACATTAATGGATTTTTAAATATACTTATGAAACCTAGTGATGCGATTGTTAAACACTTTACTATAATGTAATATAAATCACAATATATACAAGAAACACAAGTCAAGGACGTGTAAGAGTAAACCATTAATGCAACTTAAATGTTCCTCGTGTTATTTTTATTGACAATTCCTGGCAGGAGACTTGGCAAAGATGCATTGCGTGCAATGTGCTCCTGGCAAGAGGCCAGGGTCACATGCTGCTAAGTGGCACCGGTTTTTCCTTTGCAGTTTTACTGGCATCATTAGTAAATCGCACATTCCTCATGAAACACCACCACGATGAGATTGAAAACAGTTTGACATTTCAGACTGCGCCATTTGACGGCAAAAGGTCATATGTAGATTAAAACGCTTCTCCATTAATAGAGGACTTATTGTATGGTACAACTGGGAATATGTTGAGCAACAATGGGCTACATCTGATCTGAGTGCAAACCACAGCCCTGTGAATGAACAGGGCACGTAAAGTCCAAAATTTCAAATTGATCCCAACTCACCACATAAACACAACGACACCTGTTAACAGTTTCCATTTTTACATCTTTATAGAGTTGGCCCCATGCTACCTGTTATTATGTTCCAAACTAAATGCACAAAGCCTTCCACATTGGCCCCATAAGAAGCCATGATGGTAAGGGTACGAGAGACCCTAACGCTTCAGTTAAATGTCCACACAAACAGCAGTCGGAGCAGAGGTAGCTACCATACGTGGTCACAAGCAATACGCATCAGCATCCATCAGTGGAACAGTGGCAAATGGGGAAGGAAAGTGTGGGGGTGGTGGGAGGTTTTTACTCATGCTTCAGCGCGCAGGTTTGCACACAACTATGACAACAAACATCAGCAACAGCAACTAAACGTTATGGCCAGTGGAGTGGACAGCATAAGCTGCAGGACAGCATGCACCTCGTTAGTTTTCAATCTTGATCTTGAACGTGACGCGACCCAGAAATTTATCACGGTCATCTATAACCTTCACATTGCGGGCAATGACCTTGCACTCCACGGTCACCTCCATTTGCTTGGTCAAGTTAAGGAATCTCACAGCGACGAGGGGCTGTGTGTACATGGGCTGCACCACAAAAAAAGTACACACAAAAATTACTCTGCACCCAAATATCCTTATTACATACATCAACCTCTCCAAGATAAAACAATAACGAAAAACTTCACATCATTAAAATCAAACAAAGGTGTCCAAAGTACTTACATCCAATTTCTTTCCATAGTAAGGGAAGTACATTTGATCCATTGTTCCACCATTCGGGAAGTACTCCAGTTCTCCAAGATTACCACTCTCTTTCTGAAAGGTGAATTCACAAGCATTTACTTAAAAATACAACATCAAGCAAAATAGCCCAAGAATGAAATGTAAAATACCAAGCTGCCCTTCTCATACCATGATAAGCAACTTTGCAATTTCCCACAGTACTAAGGCACAGATTAGGAAATTGTAAGTCACTGGGCACAATTACATTCTGTCGCTTTAGCACCTTCTGTACTGTAATGTACGGTTATTCTGGGCTACACATAAAAGTTAACCATTGGCTATAGACACTAAGATGCAACTGGGTACATACGATTCTCAGGAAGTGACTAAAAACCAACAGATAAATTTTGATTTAAAGCTTTCGTGACTGCAGTAATTCATATTCTTAGCTCTTTCGGTAAAGTCACGTTGAAGGGAAACAATAAAATATATAGTTTTATATATATTTTATTATTTTATTGTTTCCCTTCAACGTGACTTTACCGAAAGAGCTAAGAATATGAACCAACAGATAGCAAAAGCTAAACAATGTTTTATTTATAAGAAGTTTTTTTGTGTTAGATCGCGTAAATGTGTCGTTAAACTCTCCACCACCCGACACAGCCAACTAGTAAGGGTCGTCACGTAAACAGAACGTGCCAATTCGTCACGAGTACAGCACACCGGTGTATTGGAAAACCAAGCCACAACATTTACAATCCGTGTACGACGTTTCGCCAGTAATTACAACTAGCTTCATCAGCCGACAGCCAGATTTGTGGAGAAGTCTTCACTGTTTCGTTCTTTATATGGAAGTGTAGATGTGAGATGACCACATTCGGGTCACCACATGTGGGGGGGGATTAAGGAGTCAACGTACATGATGCGAGCCCATTGATCTTGGCCTTCCTGTCCATGGTGTGTATTAAAAATAGCCGTACAGAACGGTAACCACATCTATGCCTCTATATACAAGGAACGAAACAGGTGGACTTCTCCACAAATCTGGCTGTCGCCTGATGAAGCTACAGTAAAACCTTGGATTGCGAGTAACTAGGTCTGCGAGTGTTTTGCAAGACCAGCAAAAATTTGATAAATATTAATTTGATAAACGAGGGTCTTGCAATACAAGTAGTGTACGTATACGCTTTGTCTGCCGAGCGTCACGTGATCACAACTGATATACGAGTGCTTTGGATTACAAACACGTTTCATGGAACGAATTATGCTCGCAAACCAAGGTTTTACTGTAGTTGCAATTACTGGTGAAACGTCGTACTCAGATTGTAAATGTTGTGGCTTGGCTCTCCAACACACCGGAGTGCTGTACTCGTGACGAATTGGCCACGTTCTGTTTACTTGACAACCCTTACTAGTTGGCCGTGTCGGGTGGTGGTGGGTTTAACGACACATTTATATATTTACGCGATCTAACCCAAAAAAACCTCTAATGGATATTGGTCACAAAAGCCTACGTGTTAAAAATGTATTTATCAATGTAAACAACAACTGTGCCTTGATACCCATTGAAAATGTGCTGATTCAAGTGCTTTAGAATTGCTCTAAAATGTTTAAATTAATGCCACCTTACTAGAGGCTTAACATTATGCACTGTTCAATGGCCGTTGAGCATTATACAACTACCGTTATTAAATGTGGTTGTTGTGGGAAACGCGGCTCACCATTTTTTCCTCAAAGAAAAAAACCTATTCAGGATTAGAGGCCAATGGGTGCAATTGTAACCGTCTGAAAAAGGCACCGGAGCCAATGAAAAACAATAAAGCAACTGGTGGCACTATGCTCATTCCACGCAGCCAAAATAATTGCATTGCACGTTCTTGCAGGGCAAGCAGAGCTGGTGGCAATGCAGACACCTTACCAGTGGTTAGTTAAAGTCCGCTAAAGTGTTGCACACTTAGAAGAGAAAGGTAGAGTAGAAGGGGGAAGACAACAAGTGAACACCACATCTCACAAAGCACGCACCACAGCGCACATCCGCACCTCCAACAGGAATATTACCGGGCAAATGATTTGTGTGGCCACTGCATTTTTGCTGCCATTGGAACTACGTGTTCCAGACAAGTATTTATTATTCAAACCCTTTAATTCATTACACAGAAACTTTGCATGTGTGTAGTTTAAACATTGAAGATTTTCATCTGTTTAAAAAAAAAAAAAAGAATCGGTGAATGCAGAATGTGATAATCGTACAGCTCAATGAAAAATTTGTAAATTGTTACATCGAAATATCTAAAACTCAAATAATTTGCCCATAATATTTGCATGCAACATTAACGTGGGTGTATGTCATCGTGGCCACAAACCTTGCTTGAGCACATGACTTTGGGGGCTTCCTTAACCGTGCCGGGCTTGAATCCAATTATCTACCAGAAAAACTCTGCATTAGCTCAGCCATGGGGGAACAATTTAAACATGCAAAATAAGGGAACGTATTAAACTTTAGTTCAAACTTTTATTTCACCCTCCTATGGAAAATATTTATTGTTTAATCTTTTCCCCAAAAATTTACGTAATTGTGCCATCCGGGATTGCCACAAAATAAAATATCCAATTGGATCTCAAAAAGCAGTCCAACCTTTCGCATTAACAGAATGGCCCATGAAAGCAGAGATCACCAAGCCACCAGCAAAATACCTTGAAGTGACTTCTGGTCACCACTGTAATGATATTTCATGCTAGTCAAATCAAAATTGTATAATTCTCATTGGTGGAATTTAGCTGAATTAATAGCAGAATAACATTGTGATCAATGGCGGAGCCAGGATTTTCAGGTAGAGGGGGGGCAACCCCTCCAGCAATGAAAAATGATAGGAGTTGTTAGTAAGGACCTTGCTTTTTATTCAGAGGCGTGTGCGGCGATGGCGCAGCCATCGATCGAGCGTCGAATTCGAACCGCGTGTGATCGGCATCGCGCTCGCTGAAGGTGCTGATGCCTTCAGGGAAGTCGTGTACTGTATACGCAACTGCGCACAATTCTGCGAGTCACTTATAACTGCTTTGCCGTTACTTATTGACAATTATGGATTTAGACTATTGTCCTATCATCTCAGAGTCCCTGGCACATAATAATATGCTACAGTGGCAGAGGGTGTTGCAAAATGCCTTTTTTTAACTAATAAACCCCAATGATCCGATCGAAATTAGGGATTTCGATCGGATCATTGGGGGGGCACGTCCCACCCCCCCCCCACCCCCCCCAACTGGCTCCACCAGTGATTGCGATGGTTATTTTGTGCAACCATTATTAATTCGGCTGAGGTCATCAAACCACTACACTTGAGAACCAGTTTTAATCAGAGACCGCCATATCCATTTTTAACCCACAGTCTCAGCAGTGCCAGCTCAGTGCTCTTAACCTCCGAGCTGCTTCTTCGGCCTGGCCCCCTGGATTCAAAAGCAGCCTTATTTTTGATCAAGGAGGTTACACGTCCTGGTGGTGCAACAAGCGCCGAGGAGGAGCTTGCTCATACCCGATTCAGCTTTATGAAAACGCATGGCGTTTGGTTGGTGTAGCCGTAGTCAGGACTGGCACACTCTCCAAAGTCGGATCGGTTGAAGCGACACGCAGGCCACACGTTATCCTCGTTCGGTGGGCCCTTCTGGTTGTCTCTGTACTTCCCCGCTTCACACAGCGCCTTATTGGTCTGATTGACCTCATTGTAGGCTGCAAATACAAACGAGCACGTTGTCATCACGCCAGTCATTCAAGAGACCCCCACTACCTGGCTTAAAAAAAAAAACCACATTGCTCATCAATATTAAATTACATCAAAGAGCACGCGAGACACTTATCGGTAATGCCCTCATTCTTTGCACTCCACAAGAATATTTACCAGTGCACACTGTATATGGTTGTTTACAAAATACACAAGCCAATACTGTGAGAGATGTCCTTACTCATTTACGGTTACGTGTTACTTCAATACCTATTGTATTTATTTGCAGGAACTAAAAATTACATGACGTTGTTTGATTCATGTCTATCTAAATCTACAGGATTCAGGAAAGGTAATCAAATAACGAATTACAAATTCAGATACATTTGAAATACTTTCCTCACCTTCAAAAAATGTATTCAGATGTTCGATTATGTCGCTGTGTGTGTTCCGATTTATGTACAACTCCAATGCCTTATTCATCTTTGGTCGCATTACAACTCCTAAGGTGCAAAGCAAACAAAAAAACACCAAGTTTCATTAACAATTCAAAGCAACCGTTAAGATAAATACGTAATGAATACTTAAATAATTCACCAACAATGTTCATCATTTATAATGTAATAGGAAGTAGTAATTGGAGGTACAGGCACTCGCACCACACCATGGGCCGAGGTGACACACACAAATAAGTGTACAGTCTATGGTTACCTGGGCTGGACACTCGATCCTGGTACTTGGGGTTTTTGTCATCAACAGTCTGCAGCATCACCCACATCGTGAACACAAACAGAGAGGCCAAGAAAGCGTAGAACACCGTGTAGAACAGAAGAATCATCCCTGCAAATACAATCGTCACAAATTGGTGAAAAATCTCCCAGAATCCACAAACAAAGTTCCGTACGAAATCAAAGTATTAAGTGGAGCAATGTGAAAGCGATTTTTTTTATATATAGGTAGATCATTCGGCACAAATTTTATGATCATCATGGTGTCAAGCATAACACGGGCAAAGGGATGTGTGGAAGCGTAGATTACAGTGGCAGTTTCTTATCAAGAAATTAGCAAACCTATTTACGTACTAAGATTGCAAATGTTGTGGATTTGCTCTCCAACACACTGGTGTGCTGTACAAGTAATGACTTGGCATGTTCTGTTTACATGAAAACATTTACTAATTGGTTGTCGGGTGGTGGCGGGTTTAACCAAATTTAGATTTACGCAATATAACCCCCAAAAAAACCTGTATTATTTTACCTATTTGTGTAATTGGTTGGGCAGGATTTATGGGAAAATTAACATGGACGTGAGTTTAGGATTTGGTCTCGGGATAAACGCATTAGGTCATTCAAGGACTGGTAAAAAAAATTGTAAATACTGGTTATATTCTAACACTGCAGAATTAATGTAAAAGCTACACAATTAATAGACCAACATTAACGATCGACAAAAAAATTGCAATAGAGTAATGTGCAATGAAAGTCATTAAACAGAGGCAATGTTTCACAATTATGAGCACCATTAAATGTGGATTCCTAACAGAAAGCTTAAATAGAAAAAAGTACAAACAGGTCTTCCAAGTCACACGTGGCAATTACTGCAATGAAAATGCTGAACTCTACAGTGTCACAGAGATAAAACTTTGTTTAAAATTTCCACAATAATTTTTTTTTAAAGGTGAAAGCCAGTGCTGTATTGTGATAATGTAGGGTGAAATACAATGAGAAAGCATACAAAAGGTGTACTAATCAACTTGCGTTATGTATTTTTGGTAACGGCCTCAAAATAATAACATTTTACGGCTCCTGTATGAAACATAAGGCACCTAAACCAAACCACTTTTAGAATTAAATATATATTTTTTACAACCACGAGCTAGTCATAGCTCGTACAATAAACAACCGGAAATTCCATTCTATTTCAAAATACAGATGGGACTAAATCACTTATAATCCAGATTATAGCTCGTCTAACGCTGAAAATTGTCATTATATCCAATCACTGCATTTACACTGTACTACAAGATAATCAAATTATAAAAGATTATCAATTTTCTCAGTCAACAAAAAGTATAATACTTGAACAATCACTTGTATGAGAAAATACCAAATATTTTTAAACTACAGGCTTCTAAGTGTTTTAAGACTTTGAATTTTCAAGCGCCACATTTTTACACTAATTACAGACCTCTGAAATCTTACGTATATAATGACTCTCCTTTAACCAGAATGGAGGTGAGATTTTGCTTCTCTAAACCACAAGGCATCCCAACCGGAGCAGAATATTAGTGGGGGAGGGGGGATTGAATATGCACCAGAACTGCACCCCCTTCAACAGTTTTTAGCACAAATATCCCCATTGCTCCAAACCTACATAGCCAGAGTATTTTTCGATCCAAAGTTTGACACTTCAACAGCATCTGTTCAGAAACAAACCACGTGGCCAACCAAAACAGCGGTTGGGCATTCTTTTCTGGTTAGGATAGAGCGTTCTCGCATGTCAAATGGCATTCATCACTTTCACAATACGCAATTGGGAAATCTGCCAAACCTTGGAAAATGAGGTAAACCAGTATGCCATTGGTACATGTTATACACCGCCTGTCATTGACAGTACCGTGGTGCAACCAAATTCCAACCTTACCACAGTTTAGCAATAAATCACTGTTACCAATATAAATATGCCTGACAATCCATATTTGTTGGATGAGACCTCCCCACATGATGGATATTTTATCTACGCTTGACCACATTGAACAGTGAGAATTAAAGATGGGCATCACAGACGTGGGAGCATACAAGAACGGTACAACAATGGATTTTGCTGCACTGCACTTTGATGCCCACCAATTAGCCCCACAAAATATTACAACCTGCTGTGGTTGCTGGACCCAAGCACTGTGCAGGCTCAAAACCGGCTGAGCTTCCGAGATCTGACAGGACCAGGCACGTTGGAGGTAATTTGATCATAGGCAGTTAACTAAAAAGATGAATGGTCTCCCACGGAGTGGCTAACCGTTCTGGCCAACATTATGCCAGCAAATCTGTCGGGATGCCGCAACATTAAACCAATGAGAACAATCCGAGGATGCATGGAACTCCCGCTACACCAAGAACTGCTCGACCCTCTATGAACATGTCCGAGAGCCAAGAAAGCAATGTACGTATTGTATGCTGAACTTCTTTCGCACCGTACGTAGCCAACCGTGCTCATCCGAGATGCGGGGGAAGAGCTAAACACAAAAAAGTGTTGTAAAGAAATGAGTTTTTAATCTAGGATTTAAAAGTGCATAGCTCCAGTGGCTTCCTAATATCGGAAGGAACAGCGTTCCAGACGGCCGTAGAAGCGCATCTGAAAGCACGCAATGCTGGGATGACGCGGGGTCCCCACTGAAGAGTGCTGGCCAGCAACACTATTGAGAGTTCTGTCGAGGTTCCTAATAAAAGCCTCACACCGAAGACCCCACTACCGCGCCGCATAACTTTGATGATCTTTCAATAAAACTGTGGTGCTTCCTCCATCAACCGCATCAGAATAGCAACTAGTCGTTGCACACACCTCTTTCACAAGTGGAAAAATTTAATAGGACCCCACCGTGTGACTGTGGCCACCCGAACCAAACAATGCATCGTATCGCAAATAACTGCATTCTACCCGCGCTCTCCAGCGGACTGGGCCAGTATTCATCGCGCAACTCCCAAAACTATCACATGGCTCACAAACTTAAACCTGGACGTATGATGATGAGAGCCATCAAATTTCGATTTAAAGCTTTCGTGACTGCAGGGATTCATCTTCTTGGTTCTTTCAGTAAAGTCACGTAGAATGGAAATAACATATTAATAAAACATAATAAAATAAAATTCTCACGACGTTTCGGCCACAACACAAGTAGCCTTATTCTTAGTTCTTTCGGTAAAGTCACGTTGAAGAGAAACAATAAAATATATATAAAACAATAAAAATTCTCACGACGTTTCGACCATAACACAAACGGTCGTCATCATAACACAAACGGTCGTCATCAGGTGACGACCATTTGTGTTATGGTCGAAACATCGTGAGAATTTTTATTGTTATATATATTATTATTATTTTATTGTTTCCCTTCAACGTGACTTTACCGAAAGAACTAAGAATATGAATTACTGCAGTCACGAAAGCTTTAAATCAACAAGTAGCCTTCCTCAGGTGAAGAAACAGAACTGTCGGGGAGACAGCGCTTCAATGAACACTGCTAAGCTTGGCAGCGTCTTTTAAGCTGTAACGCAACATAGGACAAAGCAGCGCAGCGTGCTGTTTCTCTCTCTCCCCCCTCCTCCGTTCCAAGCATAGATGGACTCGTCCGTCTGAACAAAGCTCGTCGCTTTCCGTGGTGCTAACGTTGAAAAGAAACCGCCACTTTTTTCGACATAGAATTGTAATGTATAACGACTTATTGTTAGTAGCTCAGCTGATGGAGAGTATATTGAGTTTATTGATAACATTGATGTAGTTTATATTTTAGTTTATTATCAGTTTACTATATGGTATTCATTATATAGTGTAGTGTATACCCAGTTACTTTATGTTAATAGCTCAACTTATTGTTGAATAATATATTGAGTACATTTATTATATTGATGTAGTTTATACTTAGTTCTTTCACATCGGTTTATTGTATGATAGTTGGGTAGTTGCAGTTCTTTAGCGTCAATATACTAAATGCCTCTGTTGATATGTAATTAGCTACTTCCGTGACCAGTTACATGCTAATCCCTCACACTAACATTATGCTAATCTCCCAGTTACATGCTAATTTCTGACTTTAACATCCTGCTAATCCAACACATTAACACAGCTACTTCAACGCTAAATTCTTCTGTTGATTATGTAAACTCCTTTGTCAAGGCGCTCTGCTCCTCCCACCCAGCTTAAAAGACGCTGCCAAGCTTAGCAGTGTTGATTGAAGCGCTGTCTCCCCGACAGTTCTGTTTCTTCACCTGAGGAAGGCTTCTTGTGTTGTGGCCGAAACGGCGTGAGAATTTTATTTTATTATGTTTTCTTTCTATTATTTTATTTCCATTCTACGTGACTTCACCGAAAGAACCAAGAGTAAAATCAAATTACATTATGAACCAAAGCGTTAACTTTTATAACGGCTATCGCGTTACGAAAATAATTTTCGTGTAACTACCATTTTGAAATGAGCGTTGAACGTAGACACATGAGGCCCCCCCCCTAGAGGGCACTGTGATGCCAAATTCCACACGTGTGATTTTACGGCAAGATTACCTTCACTGTCCATGGCCTGTAACCTCATAAACAAAGCACACCATGCCAATAATATTGCTGGTTGCGTTCCTGAATATTGAAATGAAATCCGGAGTTAATCTGGCCAACATTTAAGCGTTTATTTGAAATGCACTAAAAAAAGGGGGCACTATCGTGCCAATTTCACTGTGGCCAACGCGCATGTTTAAACATTAACGAAAGCAGACCTATTATCGTCGGTGAACACGAACACCGTGGATCCGAGTAACAACAGGAATCGCACAATGTTAAACAGCAAATTTTAAAATTACTTAAAGACATAATAATCGGTGGGTTCATCACAGTGGCTTAATTAGCCTTCTTTAGGCATTACCCATTGTGGGCGAATCGGGGTTCATTTTCGACGCGATGGGGACCACGCTTAACCTCGGCCCACTTGTGTCCCGGGGACTGTCCCGGGGACTGGCAAAGCATTTAACTTGACCTCGGAAGGGCCAAACGACGCACCGAAGGATCGCGCCACAGAGGTGTCGTGACAAGGAGGGAGGGCCCCCTCCGAGGGCGAAGATGACGCATGAAAAGGCGACGCCAAGAGACGTGTGGCACACAGCCGCTCTCCTCACGCACTGCCATATAAACCTTACACACACACACGAAGGGCTTCTTCGTCTGAATGGGCTCATCTGGTTTTAAAATGAAAGCCTGATTATCACGGACACGTGAATTAATTTTTAAAACACCAAGCATGCGTGTATCACACATTTAGATCACACACATGCACTGCACAAGACACCACATACGATTAACATACACTAACCAAATACGTAGCGCGGAAATGTGCGTAATACCAACTAGACGCACACGTGTACAGCCTATACGTGTACAGCATAGGCGTAGTGCCACACGAACGTGTATCACACCCCCATACCACACTCGCATACCACAATACAAAGATCCCCGTATAGCCTTAACAGACTGTTGGGGCAAGTGCTGTTAGCGAGCACCTATGAAGGCCACAACGGCACACGAGGGGGTGGGTGGCCAGCACCACGCCCAGCCGCCTTCGCCTCCCCAGTGGCGATGTTTTCACGCACCACACCAGGTACTCATTTGAGGCTGAATCGACCTATGGGAGGCCCAGGACCGGTTCAGAAAATCGTCACCGATGTTGGCCGTGAACGGGAATCGAACTCGGGTCGCCAGGTTCGTAGCACAGCGCACTAACCGTTAACACTGCCGCTCCCCTACACACACTCCCAAACCACAGATACACACACACACACAACAGATACAACAACCGCCATTCGCCACTAAGTGGCTGTGACGTCACCACGACGCTTGTGCCAGGCCATGTGCACCTTGAGGCCACGTGAAGTGTCGAACGTCCACTGGCAGGAAGTTACAGGGCAGACCCAAGTGCCACGGGTCGACTAAGATGACTGAGATGACTGGCTGATGCACCACCTGTGCCCCTTACTGTGTCAACCTGCTGTGCTTTAGCCACCCGGTGCTCCGCTCGTTGTTGTGAGCGTCGCTCCTCCGCCCTCCGTTGTTGTTGGAGGGCGACTGCCTCCAACTGCCCAGTAGCAGCGTCCCTCACGAGCCTCCTCCACAGAGGCCGATCTTGACACCGCTGGTACCAGTTATCGGCAAGTCCACTCAGCTCCACGTCCCCCTGTACCACATCACTCCATCTCTTCTCTAGCCCGTGCCGCGCCTGTTTAGCCCCCTCGATCCGGCCGAACAAAAGCTGTTTCGGCATGCGGTTGGGTGGGCATGCGGGCTACATGACCCAGCCAACGCAGCCTTGCCTGCCGGAGGAGCTCACCGATGGCACCTTGCCCAGATCTTTCAAAGATTTGTGAGCTCCTCACACAATCCAGCCTGGTTAAACCCAGGATGAATCGTAGGCAGGCTAGCCTAAATGTTTCTAACCGGCGAAGATGTTCCATTAGGGGGGTCCACGTTTCGCAAGCGTAGAGAAGGGAGGGAATGACCGTGGCCGAGAAGACCTGAAGGTAGCTTCCACACAGCGTTACGCAACCGATGAAAATATATTGGCGCTCGACTGATTCGGAGTGAGACCTCTGCTGTTAAACTGGAGCCGGTCATAAGCACACTGCCCAGGTATGAGAAACTCTCCACAACTGCCCCATCACCGATTGGGAGGGTGGAGTGTCCGATGGTGCAAAATACCCAGGCAGGTGCTTAGTTTTGGTGGGGCTGATGGTAAGGCCCCATCTCTTAGTGGCACGCTCCAGATCCACACACATACAACACGTGTAGCCCCTATGCATACCACACACAAACCACAGATATCCACAACACGTGTACCCCTATGCATACCACACACATACACCCCTATGCATACAACACACACACAAACCACAGATACAAACAACACGTGTACCCCTATGCATACCACAAAGACCCACCATATAGCCTTAACAGACTGTAGGGGCAAGTGCTGTTAGCGAGCACCTATGAAGGCCGGAACGGTACAGGAGGGGGTGGCCAGCACCACGCCCGACCGCCTTTGTCTCCCTAGTGGCGATGTTTACACACCGCACCAGGTACTCATTTGAGGCTGAGTCGACCTAGGGGAGGCCCGGAACCCGTTCAGATAATCGTCACTGGTGTTTGCCGTGAGCGGGAATCGAACCCGGGTCGCCAGGTTCATAGCGCAGCGCGCTAACCACTACCACACACATACACAACACGTGTACCCCTATGCATACCACACACACACACAGATACACACACGTGTACCCCCTATGCATACCACACACATACACAACACGTGTACCCCTATGCATACCACACACAAACCTTGCGCCACACCTCCGCAAAGGCGGATGCATCCGCAGACCCCCATGCAGCCATTGTGCATGGCAACTCGTTGCCTTTCGAATGGGCGACCATTCATTGCACGCAGCAGATTGTTGCTTTGTCGTGGCCGCGATCGGCCCCTTACCGGCAGCGGCAACAATATTATTCATAAAACCTTCATGAATAATATTGGTCGCGAAAGCCCCCGTGTTGTACGTGTTAAAGCAACAAGATTGTTATATCGGAGGGGACAGCACAGCAGAGGCAATGTCCCCCCCACCACCACCACCCCCCACCACCACCACCGTGCTTCTAAAGACGTCGGCGTGGCGGTGAAATGACCCTTAAGGCGATGAAGAAGCCCTCTTCCTCCTCCATCATCATCATCATCGTCGTCATCCAGTAGCGGCGTGACAGATGTAACGCGTACTGTAAATAACGCGTTACAATTGTAACGTCGCTCCATCCTCGCCCGAGCCGGCCGGCGAAGATCAACAATAAGTGATCGATCCACTTGCTCCACGAGATCACGGATTCCCCTTCCCTACAGGCATCATCCCCCCACACCCCAGACCACCCTCTCGAAAAGCCCACCGCACTCCGGGAAACTCGACAGGATTCTCATCGCTCCATCGCCTCCTCGCTCCCGTCCTCCCCCGGACGCGTTCCATTTGCGTTTGGCGAGATGTCTCAACGTATACATTTTTAAAAAAAATAACATTCGCCGGGTTAATCGACAAGATGAGAGAGAATTGACGTGCAAAAAAACAGGCGGGCAGTCCTTACCCCAGCTCCTGCCCGTGCGGCCAAGCACCTGGCCGGTGTGTGGGTTGTAGAGAAACAGCTTCCATTCCGCCATCGACTCGGCGAACGTCTTCTTCTCCTTCTCAGACGACATTTTTGGTTTATTACCTCAGAACGTCAACAACAAGCGGCAGCAGAGGGCGGGTGTCTCTTTACTTGGGTGAGGCGGACAGAGAATTAAGATTCAAACGGCTGGGGCGAGACGAACGAGGAGTGAATGACGACGGCGACGGTGGATTCTTTGTGAGAGAGAGAGAAAAACAAAAGCGCACAAGCGTCGCCCCGTCCGTTGAAAGTGCCGCGTTCTTCTTAGTCCCTTTGGCGGGAAAATAAGCCGGGGCCGTGATGGGGTGGCAGCAAGAGGCCGCTCGCGTGATTAATGAGACGGCAACGACGGCGGTGGCGGCTGCACGACGGTGAGGAGGTGGGGGGGAAGAAGAGCGAGAGGCGACAGAGCGGCGTCGGTGCGAGGAGAGAGAGGAAGGAGAGGAGAGAGAGGGAGGAGAGAGAGGGAGGAGAGAGCGCGACGCGGCCCCACGACTGGAGGGGAGAGGCGCGCGCAGGGCCCCCCCGGCTCCTTTTAAGGGCGGAACGGCCACGTGGTGTGCGGGTGACGTCACCGAGCCGGGTCACGTGCCGGGTCACGAGCAGGCGACGATTGTCCGATCCCCCGGTCGTCGGCCTCGCCTCGGTCGACTCGGCCTCGAACGAGCACCCTGGTGCGGTGTGTAGTAAACATCGCCGCTAGGGAGACAAAGGCGTCCGGGCGTGTTGTTGGGCCACCCACACCCCTCGTGTGCCTTGACGGCCTTTCTTCGGTGCTGCTCGCTAACGGCACTTGCCCCCTGCGGTGTGTTAAGGCTGGGAGGGAGTGAGTGAGTCTTTGTTGTGTGTGCGGGGACATGAATGTTCCCTTCGCAAAGCGAAAGGCGCGGGTTTCATTGAGAGAGAGGCGGCGCAAAGCTCCGCGATCGGGCGGCTCTTTTTCGAAGGACGCCGAGTCTGCTGGGTATAGGACTGAATTTGTCGGAGGCGAGGGCTTTCCACACGAGCAACATTAACACTTTAGAGACGACAGGGGAGCCCCGTGTAAACGCTGCGAGCACGGGAGAGATGATGATGTCCTCGCTGCCTGCCGCCTGCCAGAGGACCACCGCAATCAACGGGACGTTGACATTTGGTGGTGAATTCTGCGAGAATACAAAGGCATGGAGCAACCTCAACGCATCGGCAGGTGGAACGGAACACATTCGAGAAATGGTTCTAAAGTGTAAATACTCGGGGCCTTTCGTGGCCCTGTTTACCCAGAGACGGGTCAACCCTTGATCACAATAACCAGGAGAGAATTGCTGTCCAGCACCCCGCAAACTTCAGCGCGTTGAGCGGCTGATTGCGCAACTGATCGACGGATTTCCCAGAAACGTCGGGGGGCAAACAAAAAAAAGAGGACGTTCCTGCAAATCCACGTCGGTACACGGCGCAATTCTACACCATGGGGACTCGTCCGAGAGGACGCAAAGATGGAGCCATGACCCATCATCTCGCGTGCGTTAGCGAGGCTGAGTGTCGTAGTGCAGGGTCGTGAGGGTTTTTCATGGACGGCTCGGCGTTGGCATTCATCCAGCAGTGGATTAGCTCATGGCTGGTGATAATAAAAGGGGGGGCCCGTCGTGGCAGATCCTTGTATCTGGTGACGGGGAAGCGGGGAACACGTGTGGGAGTACAGTGTGAGTACAGTGCGAGCACGTGTTCGCGGGGTGGGTTTCTTCCGCATTGACGAGCGTGTCCAGCCCCATTCATTCTCAATTGCACCCAACGCGCGCACGGATTGGGGGGCGACTCACAAACACGTGGTCGGTACTTTATAGCCCGTTTGTTAATCCACTGCTGGACGGGGGGGGGGGGTGCTTGACCATACTTCACCGCGTTGGTCAGCGCAGCAGGATGATGAGACAAGGAAGGCCCCTGGGCCTGGTTCAAAAGGTTCGATATCACTCGCTTGTCGGTGGCTTGTCACTTGTATTGCTTTCCCCAGGACGGCTTGGGACATCTGGAGATCTTCCCGGTACATTTAACTTCCCCAGCCTTTCAATGTTGCGTAATAATATGAATACACAACTGGCATGTAGCGGTGTGACGGTGTGCATTCTCACATGTCCCCGATTGTTGTACCTGAGAAGGTGACAACCCAACCAGCCATTTATATTATTACACGCTTTTTATTAACTCACTCTGTTGTATCCTCAAATCTTGTAACTAAATTTTATCCCACTTCCCAATGTGGTATCGACTGCAAACTTGGTATACTTATGTCATGCTGATGACAATACTATATTCTATCATTAAAAATAGGATTTTTTTTTAAACATTTTTTTGAAATATGTTATGTTTCGGCTTGGGTCTAATTCACCACGGTCCCCTTACGTTATGGCAAACTTCGGGGCCACTTCCTGGAGTCGTGGAGTTCTGCAATTACTAGTACGGTACATTCCATTAAAGCGTGTTTTTTTTTTTAAAGTATTTTTTTAAATACTACTTATAATTATCCGTGGACATAACGCGAACTCGGTTGTGTGGCGGTAACCACTGCGCCACCGCTCCACTCAAACGCACGACACAACAGTAGAACACAACTTCAAACACTCCCCGTGGGAAATTGGCGTTGAGTCAGGGACACCACCACATCGTGTTGTTACCGTCTGGGATGTGTCAACGTTGCATAATTTGCAACAGCGCCGTGGTGTTGCTATTTTATTCTTTTTGCCCAATTTGCAGTCAGTCGTGTGATACATCGAGGGTGTATGTGGCAGCGGTTGATCGGAGCAGTCGTTAGCGCATTGCGACTCTGAACAATTGATATAAAATCAATGTATTATATGCTCCCGATATACCTAATGTGATGGACAAGGCGATCCCCCCCCCCAAATATAGAAATCAAACTCTGCCTTTGGGCGAGTTACATCTAACCCCATCGTGGGGTTATCTCTCTTTAACAGTCCACACTAACCAAGGTTTGGGGAGACCTTCATCCAGTAGTAGATAAACAAAGCATCTATGACGTGTGTGTGTGTATATCAATTCGAACGTCTTGATGCAACAACAAACGAGATGGAGTAATCGTTAACAGAATTTAGAGGAAGTGTCTCGTTAGCCATCGGTCACACCTGATTAGCTCAGCGCCAGAAGTTAAACGTCCCAAAAGGCACAAAATTAAAGACACGCGCAGGATCCGAAGGGCAGCCCCCCGCCCCCTGCTGGGTGGGAGCTGTGAATTGGGAATTGAGGCGACGGTGAGGATGTCTGGGTCCTCAACAACAGAAGAATGAATGTTTAACAATGGCACCGGCCGGATTAGGAAATGACTCAAGGTAAAGAGCCAACCGGCTGATTGTTTAATTGTTTACATTTTAATGGCCCTCGCCGCCGTGAGGTTGATCGATTTCACGTCGACGCTCGTGACGAGCATTCGTGACCTTTGCTTTATGGACACATTCGGTCCCAACGGTAGCATTTCATTGCATCAGAGGTCTCATTAGCGTCGTTGTGGAAACTGTACAATAACTTGATTAAAAATATATATATTATTTTACACATCCCATCAGCATTTGGAGTGCATGTTTTTTTCAGGAGCATTTGTCTTCACACAAGAGAAACTCTGGAATGGTTTGGACATTCGGTGTCTCGTCATCAGAATTTGGTTCCCTTACAGCAATGCCACTGAACTGTCTTGCGCTGTGACCCCCCCCCCCCCCAAAGTATACAGCCGAGTGGCTCTGAAAGGGGTCATCCCATCAGGGTGTTTGTGGGAGTTAATTATCATTTTTAAAAACCTGTTTGTTCCTTCTTTGCTTCTTCCGATGACTGTATACTAATCCACCCGGTTTGTTTTTTTGTTGCTAGTTAAACACATTGGGCTTTTTGTTGCGCAAATCACAAAATAATGTTTACCCGAGACGCGCCTATAACACCGTGGCCCTGAAAGTAAACAATCGTCGACGTTTCGGGGAGTGACCTTTCTACGCGATCTATCTGCTATTAAGACGGGGGTCACACTGACCCTCGCTGCGTGGTTGGTCAAATATGGTCGAACCATCCCCCCCCCCGCCGCTATGGTTGACACGGAATGGGGAGGCTTTCGTCTAGCGGTGGATTTGACAACAGTTCAAACCTGTTCATTTAAAAGTCAATGAGCGATGTTATGCATCAGTGGATATGTGTGCATTGCTAAGGCAACAGGCGCCAGCCTCCGAATGGACGTTTCAATCACCCCACCCCTCGGTGGCTGCATCGCTTTCTGTTATTTGTTTTTGCTGGACGCGTACAGCCCCTTGTATGGATCCATTGCTGGATGGAGGGTTTGTGAATGCCGAGAGAGCATGGACGTCGTGGGAGCAGAGGAGGACAGCACGACAGTGAATTATTCTGCATTGCCCTGTGATGTCCATCAATTGCTACCGCAGCAGCCTATACCACCTTTTTAACGATATACCCAAGCGTATGTCCCTCCAGATTAGAAACAAAAGATGTGTTTACACATCATATCACGGCCCTCTGGAACCGCATCATTGAAGCAGCGTTGGTTCAGTGAAAGCAAACTCTGGGCAGGTTTTGACTATACTTCACCGCGCTGGTCAGTGCGGGTTGCAATCAGTTCAGATTTCGCTCGCCACTGATGTTGAGCGTGACCGGGAATCGAACTTCGGTTCCCCATGTTCATAACGCTAAAGGGTGCTCACCAAAGCACTGCCGCTGCACCCATAAACACGTACAGTGCTGTATTACCAATGCACAAATATATCACCATCATCCCTGTGCCCAAAAAGCTAAGGCCAACAGGACTAAATGATTATAGACCGGTCACCCTTACATCTGTGGTAATGAAGTCTTTTGAGTGCCTGGTCCTGGCACACCTCAAAGCCATCACAGACCCTCTCCTGGACCCCCGTCAGTTTGCCTACAGAGCCAACAGGTCTGTGGACGACGCAGTTAACATGGCCCTCCACTTCACCCTACAGCATCTGGACTCCCCAGCATCCTACGCCAGGATCCTGTTTGTGGACTTCAGCTCTGCCTTCAACACCATCAAATCTGCCCTGCTTCAGGACAAGCTTTTCCAGCTGAACGTGCCCGACTCCACCTGGAGGTGGATCACAGACTTCTTGTCTGACAGGAAGCAGTGCGTTAAGCTGGGAACACAAGTCTCTGACTCCAGGTCCATCAGCACCGGAACTCCTCAGGGCTGCGTCCTTTCCCCACTGCTTTTCTCCCTGTATACCAACAGCTGCACCTCCAATCATCTGTCCGTCAAACTCCTGAAGTTTGCGGACGACACCACCCTCATTGGGGTGGGGATGAGTCTGACTATAGGTGGGAAGCTGACAACTTGGTGACCTGGTGTAGCCAGAACAACTTAGAGCTAAATGCTCTAAAGACAGTTGAGATGGTTGTGGACTTCAGGAAGAATACAACCCCACTCACCCCGATCACCCTGTGCGACTCCCCAGTCAAAATTGAGTCCTTCCGCTTCCTGGGCACTATTCTCTCCCAGGCCCTCAAGT